CAATATAAAAGTTTCTTCTTTATTGCTAATATAGCTATACTGATTTAATGAGCTCATAAAGGTTACGGTCTTCTGTAGAAAAGTGGGAGGGGAGGAGATGAAGCCTTATGCTAAAAATAGCAAATGAACAAGTAATGCGTTAAAAAAGATGACAAGTACATTCCTGCCACACCCAACACTCCTAGACAAATATTTTCTACCATTTAGTCATTTAATCAGAGTATTTAGTCATTTGTCCATTACTAGATTTGTCCTAAAAGATAATTAGTTTTTCCCTTTTGGTGTAAGAAGCTGAAAAACTCCCATTCCATACTTTGCAAACACTATCTTATAGCCTATCTTCACAGAAGAACCAGCTAGTGACACAGATTATACTAAAGTTAACTAATGGAACAACCAGCTCAAGTTTATAGAATGTTTTGTTTTCCTTTGAGATATAAGTCATGCGCCATAAAATTCACTCCATTTTATAATAAATATGATTCCTAACAAATCGAACTGAAAAATCAAAGTCATGAAAACATGTAAATTGAGGATTAATTTCAATTTTATATAAAACGATCCATCACACAGTTCAGTGAGCAAGCAAAGCATCATCGGGTGTACTCGAGTGTCACTGAGAAGCCACAGAGCATGTTAGTTAGGGTCTGCGGACTCATCCGCGCGTGGGTGCTCTGCATACACCCCCAGGAGGAGTTGTTAGGAAACCACATATGCTCGTGGCCTGGGGAGACAGGAGATCGGATACATAAAATAGGGAGCGGGGCCATGAGGATGGAGCGAGGCAGAGGAGGGGCTGTGTCTGCGGGGGTGGGGTGGGGGTGAAGAGGGAAGGCCTGAGGGAGGAGCTGGCATGCGTGGGCGCTGACTCAGAGGAGAACTCACTTGCTGGAGCAAAGAGGAAAGGGTCCTCTGACACGCGACAGAAAGAAAGGTTGTGGTTCCTCTGGGAGCTCATATGCTACGGCAGGAGCCACCTAATACACAGCAGCGAGATGAGACCAGTGACGGACATGCCAATGAGAGCTGCAGGAGTAGAGAAGGGGTTCCCTGATGGAGTGGGTGGGAGAGGAGCCCAGGATGGCCCCTGGGAGGAAGAAATCCCTAAACCCTTTCTTATGGCTGAGAAGGGGTGAGCCAGGCAGCAGGGGCAAGAGGAGACAGGCCTGTGCGGGCAGCATAGGAGTCCTCTCTGCCTCAGGAAAAACCAAAAGTATGGAGTGGAACAGTGGGCTCAGGGACCACAGAAGTTTGTGGTTGCCAGGTAAAGGTCAAGGTGGGGACGGGTTGTCAGGGACTTTATCTTGTCAGCCATGGGAAGCCACTAAAGGATTTTTAGACCAGGTCATCACATGATCAGACCTGCTTTTTAGATGCATTCCACTCTGGTTGTTGCAGGGAAGATGCATCTGAGGAAGGGAAAGATCGGAGGCTCCTGTGGTGGGGCCGGAAGAGAGAACTGACAGACTGTCCTCTGTACCCCTTCTACCGCTCACCACCCGCCTAAAACCTAGGACTGCCAGGTGCCCTCACCATCGCAGAACACTCTGCCTTCGCTCTTGCTGTGCCTTGGCCTGCAATGCTCCCCCCATCCTCCTTCCGATTAAGTCCTCCCTACTCAAGAAGCAATTCAGGCATCCCTCCTCCACGAAGTCTTCCATGACTACATGTGAGGCTAAATTTCCCACTTCTGTCTTCCACAGCACTCTGGAATATCATTGTGCTGAATTCATTATATAATGTTGAAATATCATGCTCAACTCTCTGTTGCCCTGCTAGACTGACAACACCCTGAGGGCAGACACAGTACCTTCTCTGAATCCCCCAGACTGTGCACGTTGCCTGGCTAAACGCTCACCGAACTTAACTGAACATTACTCTCCTGCCCAGAACACTCCACCAGCACCCACCGCCTGCTGAACAAAGTCCCCCTCTTCGCCCAGCACCCCCATAATCTGGCCTTGTCTCCCTCAAACTCCCCCCCACACAAATATTCTACTCTCTACGGCTTATGCCCCAAATCGCTCCCCCTCCACGCACCGTATCACCTTTCCCCAAAGCATCATTCTCACTGTTTGCTTCGGCACAGTTTCCAGTTGTCTTAATTCAATCCGTCCTCTTTACGACTTTAAAACTTGAGCTTCGCAAAACTCCGATCAATCCCAGCCCCTGCAGCTGGGAGTCCCCTCTCTCATCGCAGAATCGCGGCAGCAGAACTGCCCTCCCTCTCCCCCAAATAACGACGAGGTGGGACGGGGGAGCCATCAGGGAGAATGCCGAGACCGTCTAAGGATGGTGAGGTTTGCTCTTTATTTACTTGTTTAAAATAATAAGCAGAAAGGAAAACAAGTACTAACCGGGCTTAATTTACAACTCTTCCTCCCTTAGAACTTCAAAGGCAACCGGACACTGCGTGGCCTGGTCCACACTGGACACGCTCACGTGGAAGCTGTGTCGTCCAGCAAACAAAACACTCGCGAGCACCGAGGACAAGACTATGTGATGATTTTTTTAAGCAAAGCACGTGACCACGTAAAGGTATGAAGCCCAGCTGTCATTATCATGACAGTGTCTTTTTATTCAGAAAAGGCATTGACAAGGACCGTCTCCACCCAAGTACTTCAAAGAAAACCTGTTCGGAGAAGTTACCTGGCATGACGTCATCTACACAATACATTCCGCTATTTTTAGGCTAGAAATGACTATAGCTGAAGTTCTGGGGGTCTCTGGGGGAAAGCACTACATAAATAAAAGTATATAGTGAAGCTGAGATTTTGACATGGTAAGTGGATAAAGCACTGCTCTTTTAAAGACATGTTTAAAAAGTGGTTTAGATAAAACTATACACGTATGGGATATTCGGCAGACCAGGTCCTGATTGGTCTTGATCCGTAAACACCTCTGCCTCTGTAACTTCACATGATGTTTTCCAGTCAAAGAGTGTCCCATAAAAGCAATTCTAAGCATGGCCTTGTCCCCTGCTTGACATTTCATAGTCTCTGCATCTGCGAGTAAAGAGTCAACAGCTCTCTTTATGACCTGCTGGCAAATGAGTCAAGGAAGGTGGGCACAGCTCATGTAATTCATGTCACCCACTGCAAAGCCCTTTGGAAAAACATGAGTGAATCATAACCTTAAACACTGCCAATATGCTGAGCAGAATATTTGCAGGTGGAATTTCTGAAACTCAATCTGAATTGTTTCTTACCAGAAATTCGCAAGTGTACCATGAGAAGGCGAGTATGTGTGGCAGGGGTGCAGGAGACGGGGGCATGGGGAGGACGAAGGAAGGGGTTAGGGCCAGGGCTGTGAGGGGGTGGGTGGCGCACTGAAATGAAAAATAAGCAATATCAGGACAGTGTGCTTAAAATAACTAATGTAACGATCCTGTCAAAGAATGGGCCACAAGTGATAATTACCCTAATTCTCTAAAAGAGTTTCTCCTTGGGCCACCAGACCATCTGAGATCCTTGGATTTGTACAGGGGTTTATGTTAAAGTAATTCCCCCTCCCAATCTGAGAAGAGCAGCAACTGTGATGTCATCTATTAGGCATTCACAAACTTTGGACAAGGGAATGGAAGTACATTTAATGAAAATTTACGTTTTAAAAATTTGTTTGCTTGGACTTCTCGTGGCCATAAAGAAGAGACGCACACACGCATGCGAGGCAGGCCAGGAGCCTCCCCATGTTGTCAAATGTCCCTTTTCTCTCTCTAGACCTAAAGATTTGACTATATGTAAGGACCTAAAAACTCCAAGCTGGGCGTCCCTCCAGAGAACTGAAGTATGGCTCCACTGTTAAGAGAGCCAGGAAAAGTTAAAACCGTCCTTTTCCCATCACAATCAGTATGAGATTTCTGACTAGGGTGCCCTGAACACTCTGAGACACTCGCACCCGCGTGCTGCCTCTCTGATGACAGACAGACCATGGCTGTTGGATCCTGGGTGGTCGGGACCACAGTGGAGAGGTGGTACAAAGACAACGTCGGAATAACCATCTCAACTTCAGGCTCTCTGAGCATCACATCACCTCGACACAGCGTCAGCCCTACACTCCACGCAGACAGACAGCGGGAGGTGAGCCGGCCGCCTCAGGACCTCAACTCTGCCCAGAGGCGAGCAGGGTGTGGCCCCTGACGAGGCAGGCAGGGCAGAGAGAACACGGCTGGGCTCCGGGGCGGCTGTGCTCTTGTCGGACCCCAAATGCCCTTCTACCCCCACATTCTTCCGGGCAATTTCAGCTTCCTTTTCACTTCCTTGTTAGAACTACTTTGTAGTTCGGAGTTTGCTGGTAGGTATTCTTTAAATAAACGGCATATCCTGTTTGAGGAATGGTTCCACTCAGGAAGCAGGCCCTGACCAGACACTGAATCTGCCAGCATCCTGACCTTGGACTTCTCAGCCTCTAGAACTGTGAGAATTAAATTTTTATTGTTGATAAGCCACCCAGTTTATGGTATTTTGTTACAGGCTAAGACAAAGACTCCCGGAAAAATGGGGCTAGCTCCTATCCAACCTAACCACCAGCTCCGTAAAACTTCCCAACCTAAACCTCGACTCCAGTGCTCCAGAGCCCCAAGCCTCCAGGCTGTTACTTCTACTCCAAATTGTCCTTCCACACTCCACATTCCCAACCTCCCACCTTCACCCTATTCAAGTCTCCAAATCATCTGACAACTGACTTAGGAGGGGGTTGCAATGGATTCTGCAGTGCGTCACCTAATGCCCCTTTCAACACAGGCGTTCTTTCCCTTGGCCGCCAGGAGCACCAGCTGCTGGGAGCTCAAGGATCCCCCTCTGGGATGCCTCTCTGGCACGAGGGTACGAGGGCCTGGCCGCCTTGCCTCGCTGCAGAACTCTGAACGGCCATCTAAGCTCCAGATCTCCCCATGGGACCAGCGGTATCACAATTCAACTTGTCCCTTCCCAATCCTCACTCTCTCCCAGTGTTGATCCTGAGATCATTCCCAGTAAAACTTCTCCTGGGCAAATCTCCATCGCAGTCTGTTGCCCAGGGAGCCCAACCAATGATAGGGATGCTAGAAATTTCACTAACACATGTCTATGTGTTTAGGTTGTATGAGCAAAGGTAAACAAAAATTGAAAAGCTTCTTCCCCTTCTCTAAAATGCAAACATCACAGGAACTAGCTATGTAATTATTACATGAATGTGGAACTAGCCCAGAGAAGAGACAGCATTTTCATTAGCAGCTTCTCTGTTATAGGCAGAAAAGTGACTTTTTTTTTTTTTTTTTTTTTTGCAATCCACAGACACAGAAATAGCTTTGTTATACAAAATCACTCTTTCCAAAGCCATTCTGTTTTAGAATCTTACCTGTCTCAACGTCTAGTAGTTTTACTATATGGATTTTGTTCAGAAAGTGACCTTATTTGATAGAATCAGCTAGGCAAGACAGCACCATTCAATATTAGGAAAAGAGATTTGGTCACAAAATATTGCAATAAATATATATAAACGCAGCCACCAAAGGGTGTAAAGCATATCATATCACCATGTGACAAAAGGGCAGCCATTAAGTCCTTGAAAGGAGAAGCCACAGACACTATTTCTTCCAGGGTGTAAGAAACACCACCGAGAGTGAGTCTGTGTTCAGTCACCGTGGCGTGACGGGTGTAGACAAACGGTACCTGGTTTTCTATGGCTTTCCTGTTCTTCGGGTCGCTCACCACCGACAGCTGTAGCTCTGCCATCTTCTTCATCTTGCTGTCCATGTCTATCTTCTGAAGGAGGATTTTGGTCTGGTTTTTCAGGAGCCGCACTGTGTCCTCTTTCCCATGCTTCTTTGCAAAAAGGGATGCGCAAGCAGAATGTATGGCAGTGACCCAATTTTCCAGATCTGTCTGGCTAGTGGCCTAAACGGAGAAGGGGGAAAACCCGTTTAAAATGATTTTATCCCAGAAGAGCTCTCCAAAATGGTGGGCTGGGCTTTGACTGTGTAAAATCCAGGAAGTACCTGCACTTCGTAAAAGCTGTTTAATCTCAAAAACACACACAGCCACCCAACTCAGGTTTGGAGGGTCTGGGAGAACATCAAGAGCAGAGCACAGAAGTACATGTGGCAGGTGGAAAAACCACAAACAAGCTACGGCCAACAACAGAGGAGTGGTAAGAACACGAGGGCAGACATAATATGTCACTAGGTGACATAGGATGCCACTCTCTAAAAGGCTGCAGATCTTCATAATTTTAAAAGAATGAGAACGTATTGGGACTAAGATATTAAATTTTGAAACCTGGATGTAAAATTACATCTACAGTGTGGCCTAAAATAAAAAATGCAAACAGAAGAACATTGGGGGAAATGCACAGTAACGTTAGTGTTTTCGAATATGGGAATGGTTTCTCTTTCTCTACTCTTCAGTACCTTTGGACATTATGGCCATATACTATGTTTATAACAAAGTATTTTATTTTAAAAAACAATAAGGAAAGTTTGAATAAAGCAGAATAGACAAATATGTATGATTCTAAGCATGCTGAGAAGCATTTTCAGTTCTCTTGATGTTCAGAAGTAACCACACACACTCAAGCCACTGAGTCAAACCTCCAGTGGCCTCTGGGATCATAGAGGAGGACCAATGGGGAAAACGTCCTAAAACTGAGGATATTTTGCCTGAATCGCAAAAGAAAATATTCATTTTTACACTTGCCCCTAAGAAGTCCGTGTGGATTTATACTAAGCTATTTTCCTTCCCTACAATTCAGATGAACACCAATTCATTGCTTTGCTTTAAAGCACCGTAGAAGGTTTTAAGCAACCTTTCTGTTAAGAGAAGGAAGATCAGATCTCAGGCTCTGACTCTGGTAAGTCAAGTCAGTGTGAGGACTGCAGTACAGCCAGAGGCCTGATGAGTTTAGGTCCCAGTAAGTCCTATTGCAGTGAGCATTTCAGAGCATTCTAGATTCCCAAAGTCAGCTTAGAGAGTACCATGTTCTACCAGGGTTTCTGAGGGCACCCAGGACCATCTTTACCAGAAATCTAAACCCAGGACCTGTGAGGTTTTCCATGAACCTTCCAGTCAGACAGAATCTACAGTCAACACTGTGTGTATATGAAGTGCTGGGTTTAGACTGGGAGGGGTTTGAGAAGCCCACTTCACCTCCTGGCTGTCACCCTCATCTCTACTGAGTTAATTAATAATAATAACAGAATTTCTTTAGCACTTAACACATACGTATGATTTACTCTTAAAGGAGTCCTATAAGCTATTATTATTCTACTGGTTGAAGGGTCAGAATCTCAGAGAAGTTAGGTAAGTGCTCCAAGATGACTTACAGACTTGGCACCTCCACGATTCAAACCTACGCCTGATCCCAGTCCCTGCAGCTCAGTACCACTGTGTTCTGCAACTTCTTATTTGCCAGAAAGTTACCCAAAATCCAAGCAGATAACCTGAATCTTAACATCCTAAGACCAATTCCACAGGGAATGAGACCTCATAGCATTTGTCTCTGGGGGTTTTGCTGACAAGTGTCTTCTTTGGCTTCCTCTGGGATTCTTGGGAAAAGCCTAAGCCCCTCCCATTCACATTCTCTAGGCTTCACTCATAAAGTCTCGACTCCGGGAATCTCGGACCTTGCACTCACGAGATCTCAAGCTTCTCCAGAACAAGGATCATGATTTTGTTCTCTTTGTGCTCTGATGAACATGGGCCACAGCCTGGCACTTCACAGGCACCTGAGAAATGCCCTCTGTCAGTATGACTGGATTTGCAAAGGCCCTACTACACTTGGCAGCAAGCAGAGGCCAATGTCTCTTGCTTAAATCCCAAGTCAAAGCCTAACTAAGCATTTACTCTTTCATTTCTAAATCTTGCCTTTTAATTCCACTGTTTCTCATCTGAGTAGCATATGAGCTATCCCCTCAACCCTCCATTTCCAAAGCACCAGCAGTACCTGGAAAAGGTAGACATCCCCAAAGGAATTGCTGAGGCAGAACACGTTTTCCTTCTTGGGATGCTCTGGGACGGACTGCACAATGCTGTCTTCCGCAAACAGAGCGCACCGGGGGGCACTGCTCTGATCCGTGGAATTCTTCCCGTAGGTCTCATAGAACAGCAGGGTGCATCCTGTGAGAGAGAAAAGCAAGATAATGTCCTTGTCACAGACCTAAGGACCCAGGAATTGAATGAGAAGGCAATAGAGTAAAAAAAAAAAAAAAACTTGAATGAGATAATTATTTAATGCAAACATACATGCTAAACAAGGAAAGGCTGGCATCTGAAGTATGCCTAGTTGTATTCATATGAACTTGAAGGAAAATGAGATGCTTCTGTAAATGTAATATCAATAAGAACAATACCAAACAATAAGTTGTTGCTTATCTCTTCTAAGTATTCCACACACAGGGCTCACTAAACCCATGGCAGCCCCATGCGGGGGCGGCGTGGGGGGGGGGCGTGGTTATTTCCCCACCCTACAGGTGAGAAACCTGAGAAACGGCATCAAGGCGTGGGTCCCGCAGCTGCAGCCGCAGCTGCACAGGAGTGGCGTAGGGACCCTCTGGCCCTGGAACGCTCCTTCTTAAGCACAACACCACATTATTCAAGGGACAGAAATGTGTGAGGCCAAAGAAAATCCCATATTCATTACCTACACTTACAATTTGTGGGAACAGGAATCTGAGTCTACTGGGGAATTTCACCGTTTACGAGAAAGTATCCAGTTTACTCTCCAAATGCCACGTAAAATAACTTCATTTCAGTTTGTTCTTTTGTCTCACAGTTATACAAAATACTACTTACTTAGACTGAGAGAGAAAAATGAAACTAAATACGCCTGGATTTTAAAACATGACTGTAAAAATGTTGATACATATGCTTTTAAGTACTTATTAATATTTTTCCTCTAATAACTTCTACTTGTAATAGTTTATTAGTTTATCAAGGGTCTGCTTTAATAGATAGGAATGTCTTGCAATTATCAGACACAATTTTTAATCAAGTTGATGCTCCTAAAATGCTCACGAATATGTTTTCTTAAACAGGTTTACTATCCCTTCACACCTTCACCCAATAAACATTTCTGAGCACTTCTCCTGTGCCAAGCCCCTGCACTCCATGTGAGCGATGCGGTCCCCACCCAGGTGCTTGGTAAAGACCATCTGCGCTGACAGTGGGAGCAGCACCAGCCCGCCTACACCAGCACCGTACATGAATGGGGCCCTTAACGGCATGTTCTCCTACTGTGCGTGTCCTCATTCATAAAAATTTAAATGTTTTAAAAACTATTTCACTCGTCAGGCTCATTATTTCCTTTAAAAATAAATCTTACTATGAACAGACAAAGTTTATAGAATGGAACCCAGTGAGGCACAGAAGCCAGGGGAGGAAGACGCCCGCCCCAAGCCTGGCCTTCAGAAATAGCACTTTCTCCCTCCCTGGTACTTTACGGTCCCAAGAAACACTGGGCCATCTCTCCTCCCCACAATTAAAACTCACCCAAACTAAGCGGCTGAGGGAGCTCAAATATTCAGAACAAGGAAAAGCAGCAAGGGGTTTATGGCCTGTCCGGTGCTACTACTGCACATGAAACCTGCCATGACCTGGGGCCCAAGGGCCAGGGTGAAGGGGACACAGCAACTCCAGCTGTCCATGTCCAAATTCTTTCCAATGGGCTCATGTTTACTTCCCGGTTTCCCTAAAGTCACACTCCCAACATCTATAGGAAATGAACGCAAACCCTGGGCAGCCCTCAAGATGTTGCCAAACCTAACAGCCCATCCACAACAGACTACAGATCTCATTTGCAAGCGTGAAATCGAAACAGGACGTTTCATTTTAAAGCCAGGCCAGGATGTAGAACAATATGCAGAATTTTGTGGCTATTGAATTTAAAGATCAGGAAATCAATCTTAACTCTATTAAACTCCAAGTTTAACTCTGCATCTCTCAGGGGGCTCCTGGGCTGATGGAAAGGGGCTGTCCCCCATAATGAAGCCTCAACCCCCAACCCCTCCCCGCACAGTCCCCTCCAGGCATTGGTGATGGCCTGGAGGGTTGACAATGGGAATTCTTGCCACGGTAGCAGAAAGAGAACACAGATTGGCACAGCAATGGTAGTAAAAGAATAGAAGAGGTAATATTAGTAGAAATATCAGCAGGGGGAGGAAAGCAGTTTGTCTTGATCTTTCCTCAAACCCACCTTTCCTTTGACACCTTCTCAACCTCCACTCCCTGTTGCCAGCCTATCTTGGGGCAGAATCACCAGCATCCTAAAATTATTTTAAGAACTGCTCTCCTGACACTGCCCATCGGTGAGGTTGTTGTGTATTTTGAGGAATATCTTTATTGACCTTGCCAACTGTTCAGCCCAGGAAGTCCCCGGCGAACTGGACGAAATTCCACTCGTTGGAAAAGACAGATGGAAAGCAGAATTACCCTTGTTAAATATTTATTACATCTTCCAAGCCCTAAAAAACATGTGTGTCCCCAGCATACCTATGCATCCAATGGAGGCAAGTAACCAGGTGGTTTGCTGACAACTGCTCACTTCACAAAACTGTTTCCAATTTATTTACATAGATATTTTGAGGATAATTTAAAAATTCTGCTTAAATATCTATGTGTGTCTGTATGTGTACACATAGGTGGTTTTAACTATTAATTAGATTAAACCTAAAAGTTAAGTCCAAACATTACAACTTGGATTCTAAGCCAAGAAACTGGAACTTATTAACACACTGAGGAAAGAGGTGTAGAAAGCCACATGGAAAAGGTTACGCTGGGAAAAAACATCTTTATCACACGCCTTGCCTTGGCTGCAAAGGAAAGGAAGGAATGTGCGCTTGATAACATTTATACTACAAAGCACCCTTTATCCATGGATCTTGAAGTGTTTTACAAGCAAACACCACGAGAGCAGGGCACAGGCAGGACGGCAGATCTAGCAACGGCCAAAGACAAGTCAGGCCCATCCCGCCCCTGAAGTCAGTAGCCAGAAGTTCCTGGTCTACCTTCTGGGATGGAATATAGGAAACTGGTGACCTTTCAGCCAGAATTCCCCCGATGAAGCCTCCAACAATCTAGTTCTGCACAAATGATGCCAGTAGCAGGGTAATCAGGAAGGTGGTGTCCTTCCCATGGGTCTGGCTGTCATCGTTTACGTTAATTCAGAGTCAGCCTGTCTTCCATGTATGGATCTCATCCTGACCTCTGGGGAGACCCAGGCTAAGTTCAATATCTCTTCCACACACTGCTGGTGACTCTCACCCAGTTCTTATTTCTCCAGGCTAAATATTCCTAGATCCTACGCCATCCTCCAATCAGCACGGGACCAAATCCCTTTGATGTCACCCGTGGTCCTCCTTCTCAAGGTGGTATATCGTCACACACACGTGTGCCCCACTGCCAGCTCCGCACCGCTGTGGGGATGTAAGCTGGGGGTTTGCAAATTCACAAATAAGCAGGGAAGAAACTCGTAAAGCATTAATTTTAAGAAACAAATTTTTATATTAAAAAAATAGCTACATGACTCATTATGGAGCAAAGTGTATCCATTCCAAGTGTCACATGAGTAGGAGGCAGATTCAGACCAGGATTCGCTAACAATTCCAGGTGCCCATCCCCCTGGGGGAGCAGGTTAACTCTCCTCTCCAGCTAGGGATACTTCAGGTAGAACCTGAAAATCAACTTCTCATTTCCTAACAAGTCTCCTGCCATTTGTGCCCACAAGAAGGGAAATGGCCAATTCTAACCAGAGCACAGGAAAGAGACTGTCGCCTCCTTTGCAAGGGACATGACATCTCTAATGACGTAGCTGAAGATCACATTTGCTCTTGTAAATCGCACGTACTTTTATGCAGCCATATCACCTTGGAAACGCATTCTGAATGGCCTGCAAAGCAAACCCCCAAATCTTTGTCACTTGTAATACTTCGTAGCCACATCTCCCTACCCTGTCCTTGGGTAGCTATTGGACTTTTAAACCTAAAAGCAGAACTTTCTTATCCCTTCAAAATTTTATCTTGCTAAATTCAACCCATCATTTCAACTTTCCAAATCTTTCCTGTCATTCAGTATAGGAACCTTCCTCTTCATTATGCAAAAACTGGGTAAGTTCTTTGCCTTCCTCAGCCACGATGTACACAAGGACCCAAATCCAGAGTTGGAAAAGAGGACAGCAGTATTTGCAGGATGCTGGGTCCTCGGGTTTTATAACTCCTCTCCCCCACCTGCTAGGGAATGTTATTTAGAGACGAAATGCCTTTGCAAGTGCACCTTTACTCGAGGGGCTCATGGACAACCAAGAAACGATGCCTGCCCTCCAAGGTTGGGGAAGCGGGGCTCCAATTTTTAAATATGGGGCCAAGGAAAGCGAGGGGTAATTCAGAGGACTCCAGGCACTTCACACATACCGTGTGCGGATGTGATTCATGGTTCCGCTTTCTCCCACGATAGGGAAGGGTGTCACCTGATAATGAGGTCTGACGTTTGAACACCGCCTTCAGCTCCTCTGACAAGTCGCAGGAGGGCTGTGCAGAAATGCCAGAGGCTGCGCGGCTGCTCTTCCTGTCTGCATCTACACTGTATTCACTTAGAGCTTCTTGCTTCCTCACGAGGCGTTTAGATTTCTTCAAATCCACACATCCACGATGAGCAAGGCAATTATAACTTTTAAATGGCAATGCTTGTGAGAAACTTTTAACATCTTAACAAACCAATTCGTCTATTTCCTTTACATTAAAAAAAAAGCTGCGTTTGAGGTTGCTGTGAGCTGGGCTGACGCCACGGCACTCTAGCCTGGGCAACAGAGCAAGACTCTGTCTCAAAAAAAAAAAAAAACAAAAACGCTGCACTTGCTGGTGATAATAACAGACTTTCTTAGTTCACAAAGGTGGGAGAAAACAAATCAAATAACCCAGATGTTGGTCTTACTTGCACAAGCTGGGAAAGATTCCTCTTTGGAGCTCTGAACAAGTACAAAACGTGAAATTCAAGATCTACATTCCAAATAACTAAACCACCTCTGGTTATTTATTTAGATTTTTTCCTTCCCCCAGATGCAGGAAAAGTATCAAAGAATGGTCCAGAAATACCTATAAAACAACTATTAACAATAACTATTAATCATTATTTATTAGACTGAAGAATACATTTGAATAATATGCCGTTTTGTGTTAACTCAAACCAACGCTGGACTCGACGGCAGCTCCGAGAAAGAGTACCGGCGGAAGAAACGATTACCCGTGGCCCTCGGCATACTGAAAACTCACTTACCTTTAAGTGTCACCCAGTACTGTTTCCACTTCCTTCGAGCCACCAGCTCCAGCTTCCTTTCCTTCTGCAAAGTGACGAGGGGTTTGAAGAAGAGCCACCCGGCTTTCCGGACCACGCCCTGCTCCTTCTCGAAGAGCAGGTCCAGTTGCTCCAGCGAGCTGAGCGACTCGCTGCTGGACTCCGCGGTGTCTGTAGACGTCTCTACGTTCTCAGTGTTAGTCCTGCTCATTTCCAACTCTCGCATGAAATTCTCGTAAATGTTCTGTCGGAGGGGGTCACCGCCAATCGCGTGAGTGGATTCACTTCTCTGAGACAGGATCTGAGCCGAGCCCCCCGACCACAGCAAAGCAGATGGCTGGGAGGGCACCTGCACGTCGGTATTCAGTCCATCGGAGCGGCTGTCGAAGTAGTCGCTGCCCTCCTTGGACCTCGGCTCCTGTGAGCAGCACAAAGGATCGCCATCAGAGGTTACGGAAATCCAAAGCACCCCTTCCTCGACACAGCGTTAGTGTAAGAATGTTGGCGGTTGCTAACAGTGGCGCTGCAAAGCAAGATTCTTGTAACAAAAATACATTTTTAATCACAAAGTCCCCAAACCAGAAAGAATCTGAGAAATAGTGTTACCCAGCCCAATTTATATCCAGTGGAGTCGATGCTTACAGTAATAAATAAAATACCAGTGACTGTCCTTAATCTAACCTGTGCTTAGCATCAAGAAATAAACTAGTATGTCTAAAACACACTAGTGAATATTACTAGTTTGATATTTCTTTTTTCTTTGCTAACTGTGAATCATTGTCTTCCAGGAAAGAATTCACGTTCATGCAACCTATCTTCCTCCTGGATAATTTGAAAGCTACATTAGAAAATCCGTAGTTCCAGGGAGGGGAGGGATTTGATGTTGTTATGTAAGACCCCACGAACTCCTCTTCCTCTCCGCATGGTAAACACAGTTCCCAGCTTCTGGCCAAGTGTCCAGGTCTAGACTTCTAGACTTCGGGATCTCCTTCATCTTATTTTCCTGGTTCATAGAGTTAAAACCATGCACCCAGGATGCCTTATCCATGAAGAGTACTGGATAGTAACTGTAGGGTTTTTTACCATAGTTAATATTTTTTACTTAATTTGAGAATTTCTTACATGAAAAGAATACACATACGCATTCATTCGCATCCTTTCGTTTGAGTACCTCTTTTATTCTAGGCACTGGGGGTACCAAAGACCTGAGTCTTAACTTTAATATTTATCCCAACCCAAACCCAACACAGGCAGCTCTAAATACAATTCACACTTATGCAATAAGTATGCTCCCCATGAAGGTGGCCGCATTGAACATCAAGCTGGCCACGCACAAAAGTAGAAAAAGATGTTTCTTCTAACATCTGGGTCAGAAATCTAGTCACGCAAGAAAAATACCTTGCCTACAGGCTACTCACTGGTAAACAACAGTCACTAGATTTTTCAGTAGAAAGCCAGTTTAACTTCTGACTCAAAAGGCACTGACACTCCACATGCAGAGCTTCGGTTAAGGTAACCGCGGAGAGGTGCTGAGCACACTCACGTCTAATCAGCCGCCAGTGGGCTTTCGATCATATTTCCTTATGCATTAAAATAAAAATGAGGGAAAACTGTGTCAAGGACCATTGACTAAAGGCCTTATTTTGAATACTGTACTGTGTAGAGAGGTTTTCTTTTCAGAAATTTCATCCAGAACTCAAGTAGCAATTACTTGCTGCCTTTTGCAGGAAAATCATATGACTGAAGGGTGCTTCCAAATACCCAGGAGCGATGAACAACTGAGCTCCAAACAGATATTACTAGGGAAAATACTATTTTCCACTGTGTTTACACTACATCCTGCAGTCATATTTATTTATACACTGATGCGTATGCAGACTAGAGCAAATAACCCAGCTGCTGTGAGTCACTTAGACAGGAAACTTTCGAAATACTTCAAGGTTTTTTTTTTTTTTTATTATCACTTTGTTGCTCTTCAAAAACTCCTAGGAGATGAAGGAATACTTCTCATTTAGCTGGTATTAACATTATTTCAGCTATGAATATGACTCTCTGACTCATAGCCCCAAAACACTGGGATGCAAGAGCCGTAACGGGGTGCTTCAAAACAAGCCGAGCTCTGCCAGAGAAGGGCACGTACGCACCAAAGTTAAACGTGACCTACGAACACTCTTGGCATCATTTCTCGTAAGAGAGAGACTGCAAGTTGTGCCAACTTTTAAATGTCCAACTGTAGGAAAATAAGAATTTTCCTCAAGAAATGGGAAAATAATGCATTTCAGTATTTATAGCGATTCTTATACACAGGCATGAACTTTCCCAGTCTCATAAATGTCTAAAGTTTTCTGTCTAGAATCCTAATAGCCGGTGACTAATTTTCGGGCTAGTAAGAAAAGGCATGTTAAAAATAAATAAATAAATAAATGTCTTTAAATCGGTTCAGCAAGGTTCCGAGTCACTAAGTTATGGGTGTGAAATGAGTGTACACAAAGCAGAGGATTTCCATACAAATGATTTCCATTTCCACCAGTCGGATAATCATAAACAAGGACTCAGGTAGTTTCCAGACCAGGGCACTGTAGCCAAGAGTGCACGTGGCAGGGTCATTTCCCATCCCCTCCCTCTCTTCAGGTTAGGCATGGCCACGTGCCTTGTTGTGTCCAATAAATGTGAACAAAAAGCAAATGTGTCACTGCCAAGTCTTTTCTTTTTCCCTCCACCGCAGTGGCTTGCAATGCTCCAGACAGTAACTGTTCTGTCAACCTGGGGTCCCAGAAACCAATGTACACCCGAGTCACCAGCCGGTGACCGACCGGTGATGAACCTGAAGCATGAGTGACAAATAAACTTCGGCTGTGCTAACCTCAGAGATTTGAGGAGTTTTTGGTGCCTCGGCAATAACTTAGCCTACCCTGACTGACAGAACTGGAAATTTAACTGGGACAGAAACAAAGTCTCATTTAGCACAAGGTTAGTACTAACCTAAAGTCAGTTTGAAGAGTTTATCTGCATCAAACACATATTCCTCTCTAGCACGTGTTCTCTCTCTCTCTTGTGTGTAATTAGTGATATTCTTTTTCAGTGATGAGTGTTTTTTCATAGATCAATCTGTTTTCAGGCTCTAACTCACCAGGGTGGTTGTAAAGCCCTATTAAAAAAATAAATAAAAAGGCTGCTCTTTTTATATCACTTTTTTTAAAAAGTCAAAACAAATAAGACTGTCCATCATGGTAAGACTTTCTGCACCACTGCCCTGCTGGCATAAGGAAGTTCGTGTGTCTGAGAGCGAGTATGCGTTGGTTTGGTGCCTTATCATATAGTATATTGTCACAAACTTTGTTCCCATGCAATGATTACATTTTTTTAAGTATCTAAACTCGATCTCCACCTTAAATTGTAAAAGGAAAACAAAGGTGTGGCCAACAGAAGCAGCATACTTGCCATAAAAGTTAATCTTGCTCACATTTATAGATCATCAATTGTGGGAACACAAGCAAAACTAGAAAAGCAGCCTTCATAGGACACTTTTTAAAAATCCAAAATAGATGATTACCTTACTATGCAACAGCCCCAAAGTACTTAGCTGTAGCTACCAGCAGCACTGTGGCCACGTGGGTAGGTGGAGAATCCATGTGCCTGAGGTTCCGCAGAGACGGCTTGGCCCTGCTTCTCCACCGACTAGCCATGTGTCTCCAGGAAAATCCCTCAGACTCCTTAAACCTTGGTTTCCTCATTTTTAAAATGAAGGGGAGTCCTTTCCAGCTTTAAAATTCTGATTCTTTGATTCTAACCAGCTTGTTCTGTGAACTCTATGTGCACACAAATAATTCAGAGTTAGGTTTTTCGGAGGAACTGAGGGAGGCTCAGTTCCTGTGGGCAGGAGGGGCCGTGAGGGCCTACACGGGACAGGGAGTGATCGGTACACAGCACCAAATGGTCTGCTTCTAGACTGAATGGAAACTGAAACGGAATGGGATTCAGGGGAGCCACGAGTGAGCCCGGCCACAGTAAGGTAGAAGCACATTCAGTACGAATGAGAGGTGTGGACTGACTGGCTCGATGCAGTATCAATTAGCGGACACAGTCGACGACAGCTGAACACAGTCGGCACTGAATCCGCAGTCGGCATCTGAATCGGAAAGACGTGAAAGTTGTCTGCATGGGTCTGCTGTGGGCAGGAGCCATTTCTCCCGCTGTGCTCAATTGCTCTCAGCTGTTTGGGAAATGGGAGCTGAAGACAAAGGTCAGACCTCTGCTACTCAGTGGTTTAGTCTGCAGAAGTGACAACGAACGAGTAAGTAAATTACTGTACTCAGGGATAGGAAGAGGTCCTGTAAACAAGATGGGGAGCATCTGTTCTTCATCTCCGCGTGAAGGAGAAAGGGGCACCCAAGGACAATCCGGGAGGGACAGTCGTGGTAGACATTACACATAAGAAGGAAATTAACTAGTGTCGAACCTCGTGAATCTGAAACAATCTACTCAGGGAAGTTATATTATTTTCCACCCCTAAAGCTCTATAAATTTTTATAATTTTATGTCTATCCAGGATGATTAAAATGCAATTCTGCCAGAGACTAATTGCCCACTCAAATTTCCTTAATTCTATGACTTATACTGAGTGAACAAAAAAAAGCTTCTACCTTTTATAAATAATCAAAAGTAAAAACAAACAACAATAACCTGAAAACTTAGCAATTGCCATTAATTACTTAAGAGGTAGTCTATTCTCTTCCTGGTGACTAGGCCACTTTGTTCCCCCATTAAAACCTAATAGTGTTATTATTATCATCATAATTCTTATTTTAATAGCATTGTATGTTTTTTTCTATTACAGGTACTTAGGTACAAGATGTTTTCAGAATTCCATTAGTTATCCCCATGAGGAGGTTGTAAGATTATACGCATAGATATATATTGTCAATTTTTTTTTTTGATGTACCAACTTAAGCATAGAAATTTTAATTTCCTCAAAGTAATAGCAAGTTCAGGAAACCTACTCATCCAAAAATAACAATATCATTTTTTTTTTTTGGACTTTAAAAATGAGATCTAGCCAAATTCTCAGATAACCAATTCTTTTAGGAATTCTCTCTAACTCTGTACTTTCTAAGAAGAGTTTGGCCAGGTCTTAAGATTAGGCCTGCTGAGCTCACCCAATAGTACAGAGGCAAGCTGAGAATCGGGGTGCTGTGGACTGACCTAGGTGTCCCCCCCAAAATCCACATGTTGAAGCCTTCACCCCCAATGTGATACCGTTTAGGAAGTAACCGGTTTAGATGAGGTCAGAGGGTGGGGCCTCCAGGATGGGATTAGGGTCTTTATAAGAAAACCGAGAGAGTCCAAAGCTCCCTCTCGCTCTGCCATGAGAGGACACAGTGACAAGGCAGCCGTCTGCAGCCGGGAAGAGAGCCTTCCCCAGCATCGGACCACCCTGGCACCCTGACCTCCGTCTTCCCAGCCTCCAGAACTGTCAGAAATAAATGTCTGTGGTGTTTTGTTTGTGGCCCAAGCCAAGACATGGGAAGACTGAAGTTGTGTGTTAAGAGTGAAAACGCACATCTGAAGCAAAAGGGAAAAAAACCCACACCTGAAAACGAGATACACCAAGAGTTAAGTTACACTCTTCACGTTCACCAGCTCATTGAAGCCTCCCGACAACGCTCCGATGACCTTCCCGTTCTACAGATCGCGAAGCTCCCGTGTGCTAAGGGGTGCTCACCTGCAGTTTCCTCTTCTTCCTAGAGAGGCTTCCCGTCCAGTCGCTGATCCGTCGCATCCTGGCTTTGAGGGTGTCCTTCTTGGCACTATCCTCGGTTAAGGCTTTGGGCTTGCGACAGGGGAGGGTGAAGGAGCTGTACTGGGCGGGGTCCCTGTGCGCCACTCGGGAGGGCACGTCGATGTCCGAGGCAAAGGAGACGCGCGTGCTGAGGCTGGCGTGCGCGCCCACGTACTCATCAGAGAGGCGGATACCCGAGGGGGACAGGCTCCCCAGGTTGGCGTCTTTGTACAGTTCCCGGAGGGAGGACAGGGAAGAGCTTTGGTTGAAAGGCTTTTTGGCGTCACCAGGTGGGAAGCTGGCGTGGAGGCTGGGGTCAGGCATGCCGGGGGCCAGGAAGGAGCCCTCCACCTCGCTCAGCTCCCCGGCGTTGCCCCACGGGGAGTCGTACCAGGAGGACTCGGAGCTCAGGGAGCTGCCTTTGCTGGAGCGCAGGCGAGAGTCGGTGGGAGAGGGGCGGTGGCTGGGCGGGGAATCGGCGCCGGAAGCCCTCGTGGCTTCGGGCACCGGGGAGGCCCCGGGTGCCAGCGTGGGCGAGTAGCGCAGCAGCTGCACCGGCCCCCCGGAGGCCTCCGCAGGCACTTTGCCGTGGCTGCCACCGTTGTGGAACTCGACCCTCAAACACCCGTCCAACTTCCCCAGCGTCCGGATGAGCACCCGGGGGCTCTTGCGGTCCTCGCCCGGCGGCGTGGAGGCGACGCTCTCGTGTCTCCCATAGCAGTTGAGAAGGTGGCCGTTGCAGTCTCTGGAGGTGACGTGGTTATCCGCGGGCTGGTGGCCAACATAGTGGAAGCCGTTCTCGGGAGAGAAAGCAGCATTGTTGCCCTGGAAATCCTTTCCTGGGGCGTTTGTCCTGTGCTTGGAGTAGGCAACGCCTTTGGAGACTTTGCACGTGGGCCCACCGAGCCTGGACGCATAAGGCTGATTACTCTTAAAGTGAGAAAGGCAGCTTCGGGCCAGGGACCTGGACTTGTAACCTGCCCCGCCGCTGCCGTGACTCCACCCATGCATCGACTTCTCATCTTTTGCATGAATGCCACGTATTTTCAGGGAGCAAGGCTTTTGCTTAGCACCAGTGATAGTATTGCTGTGATTTTTAGATCCTTGAAGGGTGTACTGACTCTCGGAGTTCCCCATTTTAACCTAAATTAAGAACAGTTGCATCAGTGAGACCCATGACCTCAATTACATTCCATTATGACAGAACTTTCTAAAAAAAAAAAAAGTCCTACACATTACACAGGAAACAAGCAACTTCTTTCGGTGTCTGGCACATCTCATGGGAGTAGGGACAAGAATTATTGAATTGGCTCTCGCTGTGCAAGGCTGCTTATTAGCCAGACGGACAATATTGCACACTCAGGTGCTAGTTATTTTAAATACGTTATTAGTTGTACAATGTCAATTTAGAAATTGAACAGGCATAAAAATCAGCTTAAGGAAGAGATCTCCTTCAGGTTTGGTGTTGGGAGGTTTTGAACTAATGATTCTTGAACAGAATAACTGGAAAAGCATCTTTACTCTGTCAGTCCAAATACACAGATTTCAGCGATCAGAGAGATACATTTTCATTATACATAAACTACTGGTAGAGCTAACACCTCACCATAATATAGGAGATTTTTGCTCAAAAACTACCACGTTTGTAATAACCTGGGCACCAGGCTCTGCTGGAGCTTCAGGAATACCACAAAAGAAAAGGACTAGAAGTCCTCGAAAACAAGGCTGAGATGAAAAATAGGGGGGGAAATAAGAGTTCTCATTTGGGGCAGAAAAATATTTTAATATTTTTAACCTCTAGAGTTTTTCTAAAGACTCAGGCATCCTCACTTTAGAACATAAGGAGAGAAAAAAGTTTGAAGGTGACTTGTTAGAATGTGGCCATCAGAAAAAATTAACAGACCCTTTTACTTCCCTTTAAAACCCCAATTTGCTCAAAGAATCACTAAAGCCAAACTCAAAGTGAAACTTGATCCAAACCTCTCCCCTTGGTTTTTCCTTCTAACCAGTATGTCACTATTTTAGGCAAGTGGGAGGTGATGCTCTTCCAGTTGTTTTGAAATATATTTAGGTTTTTTATTTTAATTATTTTATATCTAAGAATATATAGCTATAAAGCAGAAGTCAAATGGATTGACTTTGGTGGCAGTTATCAAATATTTTAAAACCAAAACCACTGGACCAAATAATTAAACCTTTGCTCATTACCTTAATCACAGTCATGCAATGTGCCGTGACCCCCAACGCAGGTGAGCTGGTTTACCTGCAGTCTGGTTCTCGCTCTGAGGAGCCGAACGGTCAGTAGGCTTTACATGGTCTTGGGAGGGAGGCAGCACGTTTAACACACACGGACAGTGAGTCCATGAAATGATCCTGAAAAACAGAAATATGAGAAAACTCCATCAAGCATCTGACATCACGCTCCCTAAGTGAAAAGGGAGGTTTAATGTAAATTACCTGAAGAAATAACTGGTGTCCAGAATCACTGTCAAAATAATAAATGAAATGTCTGTGAACTGCTTGGTTCATCAGGGTTGTTTAGAAGATGTGATGGAAGCCAGAACTGCCCACCCAATCTCTTAAAGGCCACCGGCTCAACACGGTCTGCAGTCAAATGCATGCCTTTGTTTCGGGGAGAGCAGGAGAGAGTGCGGGTGAGTCATGCATGGCTCGTCTGTCACCACTGCCAGGAAAACAACTCTCTGACTCACAGCACTGACAGGACTGCAGGAGCATCCTCCTGACTGGACCAAAGCCGTCCACTGTTCTCTGTTTGACTAAGCAGTAAAAACAAACCCAAAATGTAAAATCACAGTGAACAGTCCTTCACTAAAGCAACCTACATTTTAGAGGCAGACCCCATAAATGTTCTCAGGGGCAAGAGGCCACCTCTCAGGGATAAGGTAGGGTTTTTTTCTTTGTTGAGGGGGCGGCCAAGATGGGGAGGCTGCCAGTGTCCACACACAGGGTTGAACACAAAGCCGCAGACACAGAGAGCATAGCGGTGAAGGTTCAGCGGTGACTGTTCGGCTCCTTGTACAGATTTTATTTGTAATTGTGGTAAAACATGCGTAACAAAGTTTTCCATCTTAACCATTCTGAAGAGTACGTTCAGCAGTGTTAAGTACATCAACACTGTTTTGCAACCATCACCAACATCCGTTTCCAGACTTCTTCATTTTGCAGAACTGACACTCCGGACCCATTAAACAGAAACTCCCTACAGCCCCTGGCAACCACCATTCTACTTTCTGTCTCTATGAATCTGACAACTCTAGGTACCTCACATAAGCAGAAGTATTTGTCTTTTTGCAACTGACTTATTTCACTTAGCATGATGTCTTCAAGTTTCATCCACGTGGTAGCAGGTGTCAGAATTTCCTTCCTTGTTAAGGCTGAATGACATTCCGTTAAATGTATACATGATTATCCATTCATCCATCCATAGACACTTGGGCTGCTTCTACCTCTCGACTACTGTGAATAATGCCGCTATTAACACAGGTGTTTAAATCTCTCTTCGAGACTCTGCTTTCAATTCTTTTGGGTATATACAAAAGAAGTGGAAACGCAGGATCACCAGGTTATTCTATTTTTAATTCTTTGAGGAACCTTCATACTGTTTTCCACACCAGCAGCACCATTTTACATGTCCACCATCTGTGTACCAGGGTTCCAATTCTTCCACATCTTCACTCATACTTGTTACTGTCTAGGTTTTTGACAGTAGCCATCCTAATGGACATAGGTGGCATCTCATTATGGTTTTCATTGCATTTCTCTCATGGTTAGTTATGAGCATCTTTTCATGTGCTCATTGGCTATTTGTAAGCTCCAAAGAAGCTTACTGGCTTCTTTGGAGGGTGCAGCAGTGACTTTTAAAGTTAAGGAGAGGCAGCTGGGCATGCGGCAGCTCACATCTGCAATCCCAGCACTTTAGAAGGCTGATGCAGGAGGGTCAGATCGCTTGAGCCCAGGAGTTCAAGACCAGCCTGGGCAACATATTGAGACCCTGTCTCTACAAAAACATTTAAAAATTAGCTGGGCACGATGGTGCACACCTGTAGTCCCGGCTACTCAGGAGGCTGAAGCAGGAGAATCGCTTGAGCCCAGGATTTGGAGGCTGCAGTAAGCTGGATCACACCACTGCACTCCAGCCTGGGCAACAGAGCAAGACTCTGTCAACCAATAAATAAATAAATATAGATAAATTTAATGAGAGCGGAAGCAATGACACTGGCCCTAAGTTCCTCTAATAAGGCCAAAGACAAGTCTCCTGCCTGGGTCTATCCACACAAATACATTTTAAATTTAAAAAAAGAAACAGTGAATAGATTTTTCACTTTAGCCATCAGCAGGAAATCTAATGGCTCAATGGAGTCTATTAACACGGAGACCAGCATCGAATTAATGAAGCCTGAAATGGGGCCCACTATAGGCTACTGGCATTTGCCTTTTAGGTTTCTCCCACACATCTGAAAAAGGGACAGCCACCAGTTGACTCGCCCTAAAAACTGGCCACATCTCTGACACCAGAGCTGGACCACGAGAATCCCCACCTTTTAAAAGTTCAAAACCTGAGCCGTTGGTCTTTCTCAGCTACCCTTTCATTTTTTAATTTAGGGAACTAAGAGTGGCCAGAGAAGCTCCTGCTGTTGCTGCTCAGACCTTCACAATGACTTGATCAGAGGGAGCCTTTGTGTTTGTTTACTTTTGTTTGGACCATGGTAGTGATGCCCCTAAAGCTGGAAGGCTCCTGGCTGCCTCCCTTTGTCGTGTGTCCTGAACTGCAGCGCACACACACAGGCAGCAAGCTCTCCAGAGCTGCTACCGCGAGCCCGTCCGTCTCAGCCGCTGACAGACACACAAAGGCTGTGATTCAAAGCCACAGAACAGCTCCAAGGGGGGAGTTTATGCCCCAGCAGCAGGTTGTAACCTAAACTCATCTTACTCCTTTTGCAATTAAATAGCGTAATTTCTTATTTCATGGGATATCTCAAAGCACACAGCACGAGACCCCATCCTATACACACAAGGCCTGAACATGGGGGCTTATAGTAAGTGCTCAATAAACACCTGTTGACTTGAATGAAAGCAACTTCACAGGGTAGAAGGTTGATCTGGACCCAGACCAAGGGCAGGAATCGTCCTTACTGGGTATGGTTGAAAGACCGATGTATATAAATCCACGAGGACATGTTTCCATGATTAAGCCAGTACAGCCTAGGGAAGAGCCAGCAGGGAGGGACACAAGTGAAAACAATGCGCATTTTCACACAGGCACGATGTTGACCAGCTGTTCCTCATGTCTGCTCAATTCAGGCAGAGGGGGAAAAAAGCAGCCTTAAACTGTAGCAGGAAGAATTTGCCCAATATTTATGAGAAATTTATTGACAGAAGGGTAATCCCTGGGGGCAACTGTGTAATTATTGTCCCTCCAGAGTTTGACAAATTGAGCAGATATTTATCTGTCATGCTTTAGCTATGATTTTTGTCTGGAAGCAAAAGAATACACAGGTCAAATTTTCAGCAACCTCTGGCCACCTGACTCCTTTACTAGGGGAATTTTGTGGTAATCAAGTTAAAAACTTTTTTTGTTGAAAGAAAAGGGGCTGAAAATTTTTTTTAAATAAAGCATATTTCCTGGGAAGTCTTTAAAAAAAAGAAAACAAATAGGTGAAAAGGGCCTGGTGTCTACAAATAGCAAAAGTACATATTTGGGAAACTATTAGAATTCTAGAGGAGGATGTTGGAAATACTCTTCTAGACATTGGCCTAGACAAAGAATTTATGAAGAAGACCCCAAAGGCAATCACAGCAACAACTATAATAAATAAATGGGACCTGACCAAATTAAAAAGCTTCTGCACAGCCAAAGAA